CCTGTGTGTCCCCAAAGAAGGACCCAGGGATGGGAGGGAAACAGAGGAGGCTTTCACCCACAAGGCAACCTGCTGTGTCTCCTCCACAGCCTGCCCCAGGGACCTGAGTCATCAGGGAAGCTGCCCGTGGGTCCCGATGCCTGGGGTTCGGCACCCCACAAAGACCACCCATTCACCCACACAGACTTAGACCACACAACCTTAGAGGGCCTGATTCAGTTTACTCCCAGCACAGAGCCTATTTCCTGTCTCCTGGAGCCTCTGATCACCACGACCAACTGCTCTGCCCACCAGTGCGGGGGAGGGATGAGGAGAGTCCCAGGACGCACCCCTCTGAGGGAGGCAGGTCCCCTTCGTGGCCTTGGGCGCGTCCGATGCCACCGCTGAGTGAGTTCAGCGCTGGACAATGGCAGTCGGGGAGGGAGAAGAGGCTGCTGCTCTTCCGCCACTTAACCAAGAGCCCAAATCCCAGACCAGCCCTTGCTTCTGTGACACCCCGCAAAGCAGACCTCTGGGAGCTTGATGGGACTGTCACTGTGGTCTGGAGGTGGTGCCGGGGCTGGGGCACTGTCCGGAGGACAGAATCCACCTATCTTGACTTTCAGAATGAGGTTTCTGTTGTCAGGCTTGGTTCCAGATGTCACCTGGCTGGTGGTGACCCCACAGGCTCCTTCCTTACGATGCTCAAGGAAAGAATCTTTACAACCCTGCAAGACCCAGCAGCAGACAAGCCACCCCTCCCCACGGGGCCACGGGTCAGGTTTCCTTGAAAATCTATTTGCTACACCTTGCAAACTCCCACAGTTTCTCTTTATTTGGCAAACATCTCTTCTTTATTATCATCATGAATATCATTTGGACCTCTGCAAAGACTATATACATTCACATTAACGTGCACCCTGGGCTTCGGGCCTCTCTCGGGCCATTCGCGCCCGTTCAGTAGCTGGGTCGCTCCCGTATTGCACTGAGTTCTGAGAGCCGAGCGCAGAGAGCCAGGCCGGGGCCGTGCCCGCTGTCTGTCCTTGTACTCGGTACAAGTGTGCATTTCCTCATCCCTTTATTTCCTCCTTGAAATCACTGAGGGAGTTGAGAGGAGGGGCAGGAGGGTGGGCAGGGCTGGCGCGTGGGAGGGAGAGAGTCCGACAGAAACGTCACCGAGACGCACCCCAGGGCCGAGGCGAACGCATCTGAGGGCGGCTGGCAGGGGCACCAGGGCTGTGTCACAGTCAGGGTCTTCCCTGGGAGGAGGCGGAGGGCTGCTTCTGTTTGTAGTTTTTTTTGTTGTTTTTCTGCAAAAGTTTGGAAGAAAGGGGAGTAGCTGCAGAGAGACATGGGTTGGGCGACGGGGCTGGGAGATGGCGGAGGCCGAGGAGGAAGGGCTGGCCGAGGAGAGGCGACCCCGGGGGCCCTGCTGTCTCCACACGCCGGAAGAGCAGTCAACAACCCAAAGACTGTCTCAGTTTTGTTTCGGAATTATGCCCTCTGGGAAGAAAATGTTAGCACTTTTTTTTCACAAGTGGAGAAAAGAAATATGAAAAGCCACAGGAGACGTGAGGACACACGGCGTGTCCTTCCCAACACGCCCGAGACACAGGCCACGGCGCCCACACACGGATCGCACCCGCGGCGGACGCACCAGTGCCCACGCGGAAGGAAACAGACGTCACTTCTCACTGGGCGCAAACCCTCCACATCCCGATACCCCAACACCCCACAAACAAAACCAAAACAGAGAAAAGACCCACATCCAAACAAACCCAAGAGCAAGGAAAACTGTGGGAGAAATACTTTGGCAGTGACAAACAGATTTTGGATTTTGATGTCTCGTGTTTGCGTTTTTGGATTTCCTTTGGAGCAGAGGTGTGTCCGGTATCCTTGGCTGGCTAGCTAGCAAGGTAGTTCACAAGTATGCTTCCTTTGCTTTTATAAAAAACTTTTTGGATTTTTACTTAAAGCCAAAGAGTTTAACATTACAGGAAAAAAAATCTGAAACCAATAATCCTTCTTGAGTCAGAAACTGAAATCCTTCCTTCCGTCTTCCGGGGTCTGCCTCAGGCCCCTGGGGGAGGGGACCGGCTGGCCGCAGATCTCCGGCTGTAAAATCACAGTTTTCTTTCTCCCTTTTCCATCAGGACAGGGAGAACCCCCACAGTTCGCTTTGTCCATTTCTGAGTAGCTCTTTTGCCAACAAATAAAACCCCCCAAAATTCTTTGCTGAAAATGTAAGCCACCAATTAGAATTTGTCATTGAAGAGAAAGTGTGTGATAGTCACAGAGGGGAGAGGAGAGAGGAGATGGTGGGGGGGACGGAGAAAGAGACAAGCGGGCAGAGCCAACGCCCCTGTGGCATCGCTCTGCCATCTAAAGCTCAGTCGAGGCTTCTGAGGACGCTTGAGGAGAGAGGCCGCCAGGAGGTCTGTGCGTGGAATCATCAGGCAGCTGAGGCAGGGGCACTGGATGCGGTTCTGTTGGTTCCGCGTCTCCTTTTGGAGAGGGGCAGTAGCAGCACTGACTCTAATTGGTCGGCTCCCCGGGGCCGGGCAGGGCGCAGCGTCTGGCGGGCCGGGCATCGGGCATCCGGAGGGCCCAGAGCTGGGTGGGGTCGGCAGGGTACTGTGTCCAGTAGGTCAGGGGCCAGTCGGGTCAGCGGGGCACGGCGTCCAGCGGGCCAGGCAGGCTGGGGGAGCCGGGGCGAGAAGGCCCCGCAGAGCCGGCTTCGCTGGGGCTGGCAGCACCCACGGGCAGGGAGGGGCCCAGGCCGTTGGTGGTGTCGGGAGGTCTGGGCACTGGGTCGGCCACCACGGCCGCAGGGCCCTGCAGGCTCTGGCCGCACACATGGTGGTGCTTCTCCCAGTCCCGGTGCTGGCAGAAGGACCCGCAGTAGCGCGCCGCGTTGCAGCCGCTGCACGTCTCGCTGGCCTTCCGCCCACAGTTCCAGCAGCTCTGCGTGGGGGCAGAGGGGCCCGTCAGGGCTGGGTCAGGTCACACGAATCCCCAGCACAGGCCCCGACCAAGCCACTCAGAGCCAGCTGTGTCTCACTAGGTGAGAAGAGAGAAGCTCCGAAGCCCACGGCCCTCGGCCGCTCCCCGGACACAGCCACTCACCAGGCCATCTGGGGGACAGTGTCAACTCACGCTCCAGCCCACCCAGACAGGTGTGCGCTGTGCTGACTGGGCCACGGCCCCTGCCTCACCTCCAGGAAGCCCTCCTGAGCTCACCAGGAAACTGAAGGACACGGCCCTGGCCCCACAGAACTGAGGCTACTGAGACCTCACCGTCCACCTCTGCTGCACACCGCCAGCGCCCCAACCCCTGCTGCATGACCCCCTCCGACCTCTCCGCCACTGCGGCCCCCACCGCTGCCTGTCTCCCTCCTCACCTCTGCTGCACTCCTGCCTCTGCCCCCACCCACCATCTCTGCTGCACACCCCCCTCTGACACCCCCACCCCTGGTGTACCCCACCACTTCCACCCCCACCCTGTGGTGGGCTCTGCTCCCTTCCTGTAGGGTGAGCTGCGCCCCGGGCATGGCTGTGAGCACAGGGGTCAGGGATGCCACGCGAGGCCTGAGCATGTTTCTTCCCGGGGCCCAGCTGGAGCTCTCACACAGACAGTTGGGCTGTAGGACAGGAAGCCCAAGCCTGCCCCAGGGGAGAAGCCCAGGTCCCTGTTTGGCCTCCAAAGCCTCTGCTACCACCTCCCACACCACCTCGCCCACGCTGCCACAGCCGAGCAGCCTCCCTGCAGACCCCGCACCTCCAGGCACGGTCCCCACCCCTGGCCCCGGTCCCTGCCGGTCCCTCTGCTGGGCCTGCTGCCCTGATGCCCACACGGCCAGCTTCATCCTCTGCCCCGATGCCTGCGACGCCAGCTTCATTCCTCACAGCCTCTGCTCAGGGGTCACCGGCCATGAGGCCTCCACGTCCCGCTCCCCACACCCCCACTCCTGAAACTGCACGCCTCACTTCTGCATGTGCTGTTTCTTTCTCTCTGTGCCCACTCAAGTGCCAGCTCTGTGAGCGTTTTGCCTGTTCTGTTCTAGCTTCTTCCCAGCTGAGAGCATGTGTGGAAAGGGCTGGTGCAGAGACGCCTGAATTGATGTGCTCCATCTCCTGCCACCGCAGGGCTGGCCCAGGCACAGACACACACAGGGGCTTTGGACAAAGAACGGCTGTCTCAAGGGATACTCTGGGGCTCCCCTAGAAAGGGTCCCTCGCTCTCCCTTCTTCCTGGACTAGGCAGAGAAGAGTCACAGAGGGTCCTCTGCTCCCGCCTCCCCCCCAGACGCACAGGCACAAGCAGGGTGACTCTCAGGCCTGCCTTGGGCACCGGGAGGAAGCTGTGTGCCTTGGAGGCCATGTGGGCCCTCACAGATCTCCCGGATCCTGCTGCTCTCACAGGGGTTTCAGGCCAGGCACGGTGGCCTTCACTTGTTATCCCAGCACTTTGGGAGGCCGAGGCAGGCGGGTCACCTGAGGTCAGGAGTTTGAGACCAGCCTGGCCAACATGACGAAATCTCATTTCTACCAAAAATACAAAAATTAGCCAGGCATGGGGGTGGGCGCCTATAGTTCCAGCTATTTGGGAGGCTGAGGCAGGAGAATCGCTTGAACCCAGGAGGCGGAGGTTGTGAGCTGAGATCGCGCCACTGCACCCCAGCCTGGGCGACAGAGCAGGGCTCCGTCTCAGCTTCAGTCAACCTGGGCTTGCGTCCTGGCCCCACCCCTTCCAAAGGTCGCGACCTCGGACAAACCGGAACCCTCCTGAGCCCTCAGTTTCTGCATCTATAGCAGGGGGACACCCACAGGATGCCTCACCAGGCCATGTGGGGTCTCTGTGCTGATGAACACCACGGGGGAAGGGATGGTGGGCGTGACGATGACACAGAGGCTCAGAATGCTCACGCGGGTGGCATGGGGGTGGCACGGGGCGCACGGGAGCCGAGGCAGGGGCGGGTGCCAACGTGGCCGGATGGCCCTACCTCGCTGGAGTCCTCCTGCTGGTTGACCACCGTCAGCGCGTCCTCGGAGGCCTGCCGCTTGGCCTCGGCCAGGGCCCGCTCCATCTTGGCGCGCTCCGTGGTGATGAGCTCGTGCGCTTTGCGCTCCGCGTCCGATACGGCTTTCTGCAGCTCTGACATCGCCTGGCGCTTCACCTCATTCACCGCCTCTTCTGCAAGGACACGGGCAGGGATGGCGGTCACACAGGCCATCCCAGATGGGTGTCTGGGCTTCCTACACCCACAACCTGGGGGCCGTGACCTGACATCACCGTGTGCAGCTGGACACACAGAGCATGTGGTGCACACAGGCACACGCTGATGGCTTTATGTCTGTACAGACACAAGTGCATGCAGACGAACGTGGGCATCCCAGGCACGCCTGTGCAAGCTGGGTCCCCTGGCCAGCACACGGAGGCTTTTCTAAGCTCATGCTCTACTGCAGCGGCTCCCCAGGCGCTGAGCCCCTGCAGGGCCGTGGCCAGGCCCACCCCAGAATCTGGCGTAGCTGTGGGCGTGCCTGGAACCTGTATTCCTCACGAGAGCCGGGTGGGCGGCTGCGGCTGCACCAAGAGCCGCACCCAAAACACATGGACAAGTCTGCCTTCACCTCCGGCCCCACCCAGCAGCAGCAAGGAGGCCCCGCGTCCAGGGCTCTGTACCGTCACCCCAGAGCCTGCTCTGCTTTCCTCACCACACCTGCCATCCTTTACCCTGGCTGGCTTCAGAAGACCACACTCCCTGACCTCGTTGTTTGATCCTGATCTAAGGCGGGGCGCACAGAGCAGCCCCACGGAGCACCGCCGCCCAGCTGGGGAGGCTGGGTTTCAATTCCACCACTGAAAGAGACCCTCGGGCCAGCTGGAGACCCCGGTACCGCTGCCCAGCCCTGCCCACGCCCAGTGTCCACTCTGGACTGTGCCCTCCAATGTCATGAATGACACCCCCTCCCTCTCCCAGGAATCTTGCTAAATGGCCCCCAAGGCCTCCCAGGCCTACCTCAGTTTACCCAGGTTGCTGTTCCTACAGCAGGGTGACGGACTCGACTGGGAAGTGGCCACAGGGGCAGGAGCGGGACGGACAGGGGTGGGACTAGCAGGACCCCGCTGAAGGGGTCAAGACAGCTCCATGAGCCTCCCTGTCCCGGTGTTTGGACACGGGACTGTGTGGAGCTGCTGGCAGGGCCGGCTGGGGCCCCCTGACTGGGCAGTGGCCAACAGACCCTGGCCTGAGATCACTGCCCAGAAGACAGCAGATGCCCTACAAGGCTCCGCCATGGGGCTGGACGGAGTTGGGGCAGGCCGGGCAAGTGAGGACCCCTTCCTGCCATACAGGCTGGGGTTCCAGACCTGTCCTCACCCACCAGCCTTGCTCCTGGCAGCCCTGGAGTCTGCAACCTTACCCCCAACTCCAGGCTGGGACCCTCCACTCCCTCCATGCCAAGATTCTCCTCCCCCATCCTCAACCCACACAATGAGCCCAGCTGAAGGCTGAAACCCACTTGTGCCCCACCTCCTGTCTCCACTACTGGCCTCCTCTGGCTGTCCACAGGTCTGGCTCTGCCCCAGCCCCTCCCCCCACAGCCCTGCCCAGCGCTCAGCTCCACGTCTGCCTGTGCCCTGCCCCCCTTCTGCGTGGACTCGGGCCCCAGGCTCCGGGTGTGTCTGCTTCTGCATGCCCCCCACTGTATTCTGCTGGGTGGCTGCCCGTCCGTTTCCTGGTAGCTGCAGGTAGCAGCCGTCCTGCTCTGACTGTGAATCTACTCTGACCCCTAGGCGAGCCACAGGGCGGAAGGCATAAAACCCTGTTAGCCCAAGCCCCCAGATGGAGACAGGAGCGCCTCACAGCCGTGCTGGGGGTGTCTGGGGCCCTGGCCTCCCCCAACGCTGCTTCCCCGGGCCATTCCTACTCACCCGCCTTCCTCCAGATGTCCTCAGGCATGTAACCGGTGAGGGTCCTCGGCAGGAACTCCCGGGGAATGTCTGAAACGGGCCAGCGTCACACAGGATGGGCCACGTAGCTGCCCTCCACGATGGGGCCCTGCCCACCCCAGCTGGGCCTGAGTGCAGGGTGAGTGTGTGTGCCTCCCTGGGGGAGGGCCCAGGGCAGTGCTCGGGCGTGGGGGCGTGAGAACTGTGGCCGCTGGACTCGGCTGGGAGCCGCGTGCGTTCTAGGCCTCTCCTGGTTTCTGTATCATCAAATCGGAGGAGCAAAGACCCTCAGGGCCTCCCCACTCTGATCCTCTGGCCCACTGGATGCCCTGAGCTCCAGGCCTCCCAGGAGACCGAGCGGTGTGTTTGTACGAAGTGAAAAAGGTGCCTCTTTCTCACGTGAACCTGTTTTGTTGCCTGCGGTCTGACTGCACTGCCTGCCTGGCACAGCTCTTCCAGGTGTCAGCCCCGCCAGAGGCGCCCCCCACACACCTGGCTGAGCCCCTTCGGGGCCGGCAGAGCTGCTGCGGGGCCGGGCGCTGGCGGGAGTGGGGCCCTTCTTCACGCCCTCTGCATCGCTGTAGCGCCGCGCCCAGTGGTTGAGCTCCTCTCGGTCCGCCTCCTGACACCGGCGTAGCACCGTGAGCGAGCGCCGCGTCTTCTCCACCATGTCCATGATGCAGTTCAGGAGCTGGGGCGAGCGAGCGGGCGGCCTTCAGCACCTCGGGGAGCCAGGGTGCACCAGACACTCCCTGTGCTGCCCACTGGGCTAGGCCACAGACAGGAGGGGTGCCCAGCCAGCCCACTATCCATGAGGGCGAGGGGGTGAATCTCGCCTCTGCTGCTTGGGAAGACGGTCCCTGGCCTGGGACTGCCCAGCGCCTGTGCGTACCACACTCACACGGGACACGTGCTCAGATGCATGCAGGAGTTTGGGATTCTCCTTTTTAACCCCCTGAGGTGGGCTCTGCCTCAGAGACCTGGCTTTCTGTTTGGGCCCCCCTTCTGTTCCGGCGACCCCTCCAGGGACAGGCTGCAGGATGGGGTGGGTGGGTTCTGAGGAACCAGTTAGAGGGCCATCCCTGCACGTGTCCTGCCTCAAGGAGGCCCCAGAACTGCTTTTCCCCAAACTTCTTTCGAGATTCAGGATACACTCTGGGAAAAGCCAGTGAGCAGACAGCAGGTAGACAGAAGGCGAGGCCTGCCATTTTGGTCATGCAGTTTCATGAATCTTTCTCCATTTCTCATGATGCCCTGCACTGGCCTGGGCCAACAGTGGGGCAGCCATGGTGGGGGAGCTCAGGTAACGATGTGCAGGCCACACAGGCAGGCACTGAGCCCAGGGGCACCCACTGGTGTAGCTGTGCAGGCATGGCTGTGTGTGGGTGTGCCTTTGTGTGCGTGTGGCTGTGTGCAGGAGTATGGCTCTGTGCGTGTGTCTGTGTGTGCATGAATGTGGCTGTGTTCCTGGGTGTGGCTGTGCATGGGTGTGGCTGTGTGCCTGAGTGTGGTTGTGTGCCTGAGTGTCACTGTGTACATGAGTGTGGTTGTGTGTGTGGGTGCAGCTGTGTGCGTGGGTATGGCTGTGTGCGTGAGTGTGGCTGTGCATGAGTGTGGCTGTGTGCGTGAGTGTGGCTGTGTGCGTGAGTGTGGCTGTGTGTGTGGGTGTGGCTGCGTGCATGAGTGTGACTGCGTGCATTAGTGTGACTGCATGTGACTGTGCGTGAGTGTGGCTGTGTGCGTGGGTGTGGCTGTGCGCGTGGGTATGGCTGTGCGCATGGGTGTGGCTGTGTGCATGGGTGCGGCTGTGTGCGTGAGTGTGGCTGTGCGCGTGAGTGTGGCTGTGCACCTGAGTGTGGCTGTGCGTGAGTGTGGCTGTGTGCGTGAGTGCGGCTGTGTGCGTGAGTGTGGCTGTGTGCATGGGTGCGGCTGTGTGCATGAGTGTGGCTGTGTGCGTGGGTGTGGCTGTGCACGTGGGTGTGGCTGTGTGCGTGGGTGCGGCTGTGTGCGTGAGTGTGGCTGTGCGTGAGTGTGGCTGTGTGCGTGAGTGCGGCTGTGTGCGTGAGTGTGGCTGTGTGCGTGGGTGTGGCTGTGTGCGTGAGTGTGGCTGTGTGCGTGAGTGTGGCTGTGTGGGTGGGTGTGGCCGTGTGCGTGAGTCGTGTGGTGTGGCTGTGTGCGTGTGGCTGTGTGAGTGTGGCTGTGTGGGTGAGTGTGGCTGTGTGAGTGGGGCTGTGTGGGTGGGTGTGGCTGTGTGGGTGAGTGTGGCTGTGTGTGTGAATGTGGCTGTGTGCATGAGTGTGGCTGTGTGTGTGAGTGCGGCTGTGTGCATGGGCATGGCTGTGCGTGGACACTCACGTTGTTGAGGTGCTTCCACTCTTCTGCCCACTCACGCTCTGTGAGCTTGTGGTCGATCACTTCTTCCTGCCGGGACCCAGGCACCACTGCAGATGGAGGAGGTGCACACTTAGGTCCCGCCCACAGCCAGGCTCTGCCCTATTCTCCCAGACCCCACCCATGGGCTGTGCCCACTGGGGATGACGGACAGGGTGACCAAAGGGCTGGTTGACTCAATGAGCGTGGAGGATGCCTGAGTTACGCAGCTGCCCCAGGCTCTGTGCACTCGCCTCCGAGGGAGGGTCCGGTCTCAGTCCTGTTCTGCAGCCGGGCCAACCGCGGCTGTTTATGGGATGTGTTTGCCCAGAGCCACCAGGCAGGGAGCGTTGGTGCAGATCAAGCCTGGCTGGACTGGAGCACTGTCCTCAGCTACTGCCCACGAAAGCCTTGCTAGACCAAGCGTGGCCTGAGGATGCCTGGGTGCCAAGTCACACACGACCTGCACCTGCCTCGGTCCGTCACCTAACAGGAAACCTTGCTGGGAGGAGCGGGTCTGTCATTCACAGCAGCCCTCTGAGGTCACCTGCAGGTGCCTGCGACTCAGACAAGGCCACGCCGAGCGGCAGCCAACCACGTGGCCTCAGCACCACCTCCTGCCTGTCCTGTGAACACCGCTAGGCATGCCGAGGCCAGGCTCTCAGACCTGGCTCTGAGGACTGCCTCAGCTGGGAGACGTTCTTTGCTCAACTCAACTCTGCTCAGCGCAGCCTGTCTCAGGTCTTCCCTTCTGTCAGGCTCCAGGACTGAAGCTCCAGGGGCCACTCCCACAGGTCACCAGAAACTGACATGTGAGTGACGCCCAGCAGCGTCTGACTCTTTTGCGGTGGCTGCGCCCGTGGCTTCCTGCCCCCACTGTCTTTGGTATCTGGCTGTAGGCCATACTTCTCGGGGCAGAGGCCTTCCTCTTTGGGCCCTTCTCAGCCCCTAACAATCTCCTAGCCCCCGAACCTGGAATGGCTCCCTGGAATTGCAGAAGAGGTGGGGAGGTGGCAGCCACAGCTCCAAGTCACCACCCTGCCCCGCCGCCTGTGAAGCCGCAGCCGGCACCAACACCCCAACCAAAATAGTGGCTGAGATGAGCTGACAGCTGGCGTTTATTTTTGCATCAGCAGAAGCGGGTGGGAGTCGGCACCTGCCCGACCGGCTGCAGTGCGCCAGACGCCGTCACCTGCTGCCTGGGCCTGGGCCCTGGAACCTTCCGCAAGCTGGGGGTGGGGAGACGGCCTTGGGCAGGGCAAGGCCTCTGCTGACCCTGCCGCCGGGCCCCCACTGTGCCCTGGGCCTCTGTCTTAGCATGGCAGGCCTGAGGCCTTCCCGCAGCCTGTCCTGGGGAGTTCTGGGGTCCTGGGGTGGGGCTGGCTTTAACCACCTCTCAGTCCTCAGCATAGAGGATGCCAGAAGGTCGGGCAGGCTGGGCTATGAGACTGTGGGTGCAGTCCACGTGTTCTCGGGGCCTCAGTCTCCTCATCTGTGGTATGGGGGTGCTGCTGCCACCCAGAGGACAGGCTTGGGAATGGGTGAAGGGTAAAATGCACGGAGATGTTTTCTCACCGCCCTGTCGTAAATACCAGCCAGGCCTCACGGCAGCCCTCGCTGGTCCCTGTATTAACTGTCCCGGGCCTCCGACTGTGAGGTGGGACTCTTGTCTGACCCAAGTGATGGCGGAGAAAACTTAAATGCAGAGAGCCACGTGACCCGCCTGCAGGTGCTCCATGGGCGTCGCCAAGCTCGGATGAGAACCACGTGGCAGCTCTACTCCAGGCCCAGGCCACCCACCCCAGGGGGAGACGTGGGCTCAGGGCCCAGGACAGGCGCCTCTGCAGCCAGCGCCCTGCCCCGAGGCAATGGGGTCCTCCTGGCCCTGAGTGGTGCCAGGTGGGGGCAGGGGTCTCCTGAGTTCAGGTACACACAGCTGCCGGTGACGCCTTGTGCCCACATGCTCAGGTGTACACAGGTGGGCGCATGTGTGCTCCTGGAGCACGCGTCCACGCTCCTGCCCCCTGCACTGCTCACCGAGTGGCCGCTGGCGCTCCCGCAGCTCCTGGGGGTCCGGGTGGCGGTAGGGGTCTCGGAAGTGGTGGGCCACGGCCATGTCCTCCAGGCGGTAGTGTGGCGGTGGCGTGGGCTGTGCCGGCCCGTTGCTGGGGCTGTAGCGCTGGGCAGGGTTCAGGGTGCATGGCCGTTTGCTGAGGTGCTCGGGGTGCAGCGGGTCACGGTCTGATCCATTCTCTTTGGCCCTAGCCCAAAGAGCAGGCGGGGTGGGGTCAGCAGATATGGGATGAGCCGGGACGGGCATGCGGGGCGTGAGGCAGACAGGTGTGGGCAGAGAGAAAGAGGACACATGAGGCTAAGACAGAGACACGGAGCACGACACCAGCCCCGGGGGGCCCAGCCCGGGGCCCGCACTCTCCACCCCTCTGCCAGGGCCTGAGCCAGCCTCAAACCCTGCTGCAGCTGCATGGATCCTGGGGCTTGGTGGTCCAGGAGCAGGACCCTGTGCTCTGGGAATGAGGAAAGGGATACACTGGCCTCCTGGGACTGGAGACCACCTGCCCCTTGGGCAGCAGTAGCACAAGCTCATCTGTGGCAGCAGAGTGGGCCTAGCCCAGGCACCTGGGGACCCCGAACCCCTGGATGTTTGGAGTCCATGCCCAGCACAGAGGGAAGACCCAGGCAGTGACCCCCGCCGCCTCCTCTCTGTCCTCCTCAGCTCTCTGGAGCATCTGGGCCTGCAGCCCACTGGGGTGTCCACCGCATAGAGGCTGGCTGGGCTGGCTGCGGCCCTAGAGGAGGTGCCCTCTCTTACCAAGAGGGGAGCAGCATGAGCTGCGTGTCCCCCGCACCCTCGGTCCAGATGCCCGGAGCCCACAGGTACCTGTCTGGCGTCCTTCTCTTGCCGTTCTCGTTGACTTCCAGCAGCAGCTCTGAGGAGTCGATGGGGGAGGAGGCGCTGGCGTCCAGCAGGAGCTGCTCGTGCTGGGCCAGGTACTGGGCCGGCGTCTGCTTGGCCAGCCGGGCACAGTGCAGGAGCTCCCGCTGCAGCAAAGGCAGGTTTGCCTGTGGGGTGGGGAAGGAGGGCGTGCAGGGCATGGGTGGCGTGCAGGGGTGCCCAGCTCCACTCAGGTCCGAGCAGAGGGCGCCTGGGCTGGGTGGCTGACGGCTCAACGTGACCTTGGGCACGGTGCGCCTGCTCTCTGGACAAGCTCCTTCCTCACAGTGCTGTGAGAGGGCGGGCACGGAGGCTCGTGGGAGCACCTCACCTGGGCCACACAGCCATGTAGTGCGTGTGGAACTTGAGCCAGATCCACGGAGGCTCACCCCACCTGTGGGAGCGCCTCACCAGGGCCACACAGCCACGTAGCGCGTGTGGGACTTGAGCCAGATCCTGGGCTCCCAGGCTGGGGCTTTTCCCCTGCACGGAGCTCCCTCCTATGGCGGTTGGGAGAAGCTGAGGAGGATGGTGTGGCAGACAGTGGCTGCTCTTCCCGCCTGCACCCTCGCGCCCGCCCGGCAGGCACCACAGGACCGGGCACAGCTGGGGAGGTACAGGCTCAGAGCAGGGAGGCGGCCCTGGGCCTGCAGCCGGTCACACGAGGGAGCTGGGAGCGGAGCCAGGCTGGTCTGCCTGCAGTCTGTCCGCTCCAGCTCTGATAGCAAACGCCATGGAGTCGGCCTCCCCTCCCCACTGGTTTCCAGCCTCGGCCTGGACGGAGCATGGAGTGGGGACTGAACTCTAGTGTTCTGTGGCCACACTGCTCTGAGCACGTGGTACTTCCTCCAGTGACCCCCCCAACCTGGACGAGGACAGGGCTGAGACCCGGCTCCACATCTGTGGGTAAGGACTCTGCAGTATGAGGCGCCCAGCACACAGGCTTCCTATGTGGACCCCGCCTTTGACACCTGTGTGGACCCGAGGTGCCCGCTGCCCCCTCCCTGGCTCCAGGCTGGCACTGCTGGGCAGCAAGCCGGGCCCCTCGTGTGACTTCCCACAGTCTTCCCAGAGCTGCCGCAGGAGGGCAGACAGGCTGGACGCTGAGCGCGCTGGACCAGGGCCCAGCAGCAGACCACTTGGGAGAGCCAGCAGTTCCAAGTATTTGTAAATAAATACAATTCCCCAACTTTCTCATGCATTTCAAAGCTGCCACGCCGCCTTCTCCCGCCAGCGCCTCCCCTTCCCAGGAGCGCATCCACCAGGCCCTCTGGCAGTGCCGGCTGCTGGCCTGTTTTTCTCTTTGGATAGCTGAACTGGGGCCAATCAGCCATCTGCTGAGCACATTAGGAGCATGAGCTGGGAAAGGAGGTCCCGGGAGGGCTGCAGAGCCCAACATCCTCCCTTCCCTCGTCAGCCTCTCCCCAGGGGCCTCCCCTGGGCCAGTTCGGGAACCTGCTGGGCGCTGTTGGGCAGGGAGAACATCTGGGTCCATGGCCAGCTGGGGCCAGCTGGGAGCCAGGCGGTGGGTGGAGCCATGGCCCCCAGCTTCTGGAGAGCCTGACCCTTTGGCCACGTGTTGGGGGCTCAGGAAAGGGTGCAGGGGACCCGGGACTGGGCAGCAGCAGTGTGTGGGCCAGAGGCACAGCAGCCCTGGGCCAGCAGGGAATGACACCCCCAGGCCTGCAGAATGGGGTGGGGACTGTGGGAGCCTCCTGCAAAGCCTCCTTCGAGGCAGTGTCCCCACTGTGTCCCCAGGAGCCTCAGCTGCCTGGGGAGGGTGTCACCACTAAATGCTACATAAACCGAGCGGGTCACAAAATGCCCCAACTCCACCGCCTAACGGAGGTTGTGACTGAGCGTGCCTGAAGCTGCCCTCTGCACAGATGGGACATCAGAACGGGGAACTGGCGTCTGCCATGGTGGCAGCAGCGGCCAAGGTGCCAGCTCAGCCAGAGGGCTTTTGGGGACTCCGCTGCTCTGCCAAGCGCCCGGCTACAGCCTCCCTGACGGTGGGCTCTGGCGCCCAGGGGCTGTGGTCTCCCACAGCTCACTTAACCTCTCTGACCCTGGCTGCATCTGCAAACTAGAGCCGTGGAGGCTCTGGCTGAGACTGGCCGTGGCGAGCTCCGGGCGAATTAGCCTGGTCCTTTCTGGGGTTCACCAGACTCACCGCCCCAGCTGCAGAGGAGAGGACCCAAGCCATGGCGGGAGTTCCCACCAGAGAGGCCCCCCTCAGCGCCTCGGCCCCGAGCCTGCGCTGCACCTTCCCACCACCTCTCCGTCTTTCCTCACTCTGCGGCTACTTCGTTTTTGCCACGTCTCACACCTGCTGTTTCTAGGACGATGTCTGCAAGGCTGCATGAGGATGCCCCACGCTGGGCCTAGGGGCTGTGGGTGTCTCGGGAAGGAGCTACCCCACTCCCAGCCCATGCCACAGTCGGGAACGCTGAGGCCCGAGGGGGCTGGCTGGGGGTCGGACTCCCCTACTGCCTCCTGCGTCTGTGGACGCAGCTGTGGCCCTGCGGTGGGTGTGGGTGAGGCTGGGGCTCCCTCTGGGGTGGGACGGCAGAGCCAGGGTCTGGCAGGGGGTGTGGGTGAGGCTGGGGCTCCCTCCGGGGTGGGACGGCAGGGCCAGGGTCTGGCAGGGGGTGTGGGTGAGGCTGGGGCTCCCTCCGGGGTGGGACGGCAGGGCCAGGGTCTGGCAGGGGGTGTGGGTGGGGTCGGGGCTCCCTCCGGGGTGGGACGGCAGGGCCAGGGTCTGGCAGGGGGTGTGGGTGGGGTTGGGGATCCTCTCNTGGGGCTCCCTCCGGGGTGGGACGGCAGGGCCAGGGTCTGGCAGGGAGTGTGGGTGGGGTTGGGGATCCTCTCTGGGTGGGGCAGCGGGGCCAGGGTCTGGCAGGGGGGTGGGTGGGTGGCAGCTTCTCCCGGGGTGAGGCGGCAGGGCCAGGGTTCTGGACAGTATCTGGGTAACTAACAGGTCCCAGAAGCAGAACTGGCTGAAGGATCTTGATTTTTACTTTTTATTTTTGAATCTTTCTGGCCTCCCCACCTCAAGCTCCATGTCGGAGAGGTGAATGGACTTCACGTCCTGCACAGTCCTGCTGGCCTTGGCCTGGGTGGGGGCGTGAGATGGGCGCCCTGCACTCCAGCCACCCTGCACAGGCCAGTGCCGAGGGGAGACTGAGGCAGGACCCTCTCAAGAACAGTGCCGTGGGCGGCGCCATGCTGGGGCATGGCCATGGGCACCAGGGCCTGACCAGACGTCACGGACAGGGGCCGGAGGCCTGGCAGGGCAGGCGTGGGGACACCGTGGGGTCTCTCTGCCTGACCCTGCTCCTGGGGTAAAAGGGGTGGCTGAGGCTGTGGAGCATCTGCTGCTAAGAAGCAGCTGCACAGCGGCCCCAGAGGTCGGGAGGGGTGGAGCCTGAAGCGTTAAAGAAGGGAAGGGAGAGCCGCTAAGGAACCGCAAACAGCGCCAGATGGGCCCAGGTTCCCGCCACACCAGCGGCTTCTCCTTCCTCGCCAGCTGTGAACAGGAGCACAGCGGGCGTGGGAGGGGGCGGAGAACGGAGGGCAGGCAGGAGGGAGGGGGCAGAGGAGGGAGGGGGAGGAGGGAGGGCAGCAGGGGGATGGGAGGGGTGGAAGAGGGAGGGAAGGAGGAAGGGAGGGGGTGTGGAAGCCACAGAGGGAGGGAAGGTAGGTGGGGGTGGTGGTGGGTGTGATGTGGGGTCCACTTGGGGAGGGACTGAAGGAAATGAGGGCCTGGCCCTGGGCGTGCCCTGTGACAGCCACGGCGTTTGCAGTTTGACATCTAGGTTTCAGCCCTGGTTCCATCTCTCCACCACCCGGGGTGGGAGGGAACCAAGGGCCTCAGTTTCCCCACCTGCTAATCGGGAACATGTCTGTGCTATGATACACCTTGACAGGTCAACAGAGCTGTGAGAGATCCTTATAAAGCACTCCTCCTCTGTGGGGCCCTTCAGACCCCAGGACGGTGATGACGTCCCACGTGAATCTAGAACGTGCCATGCCTCCCTGCAGTGCCCGCTACCCGGGAGGCTGAGGGGTGAGATTCCCCTGAGGCCAGGAACGGAGGCCCCATTCTTTCCATGCGTCCCTCCATGCTGTCTTCCCAATAGCCTATGAATGATTCCATTTTGCAGGTGCAGAAACCGAGGCACAGAGGAACTGGCCTGGCCCAGATGCCGGTAGCTGCTAAGTGGCAGGGTCCGGCTCAAGCCGGGGCGTCTGGTCTGGTCTGGTCTGCCCTCTAGACCCCTGAGGGGAAGCCTGGCCCTGCAGAGACGGAGCACGCGTCGGGGCAGGCAGTGCTCAGGGTGGGCCTGCAGGTGTGGCCAGGCTGGCAGGTTCCTGACCCCAACATGTGCTGGGCAGAGAGGGCCACATGGTCAGTCAGGTTTGGGGAACTTTTCCTCCACTCCTGCTCACAGATGTGCAGCTGTCTCGGGGAAGCGGAGGCCTGCAGCGAGGATCGTCTGACTCTGCAGCAGACCTGGGCCCGTCCCGTTTGCAGGTGTGTGGGAATCATTGCTTGATCCATTCATCCATTCATTCAGAGACAGGGTCTCCCTCTGTCACGCAGGTGCAGTGCAGTGGCACCATCATAGCTCACTGCAGTCTTGACCTCCTGGGTTCAGGCGACCCTCCCACCTCAGTATCCCAGGTAGCTGGGACCACAGGTGCATACCATGCCCAGCTAATTTTTAATTGTTTTTGTGAAGATGGGGTCTAGTGGCCGGGCACGGTGGCTGACGCCTGTAACCCCAGCACTTTGGGTGGCCGAAGTGGGCGGATCACAAGGTCAGGAGTTCGAGACCAGCCTGGTCAGTATGGTGAAATCCCATCTCTATGAAAAATACAAAAATTAGCAGGGTGTGGTGGCAGGCACCTGTAGTCCTAGCTACTTGGGAGGCTGAGGCAGGAGAATCCCTTGAAAGCGGGAAGTGGAGGCTGCAGTGAGCCGAGATCGCACCACTGCACTCCAGCCTGAGCGACAGAGCGAGACTCTGTCCCAGAAAAAAATAAAAGATGGGGTCTAGCTATGTGACTCAGACTGGTCTTGAACTCCTGGCCCCAAACAATCCCTGCTCCTCAGACTGGCATCTTTGAAAATGCAGGTTCCGACTGAGTAGGTTTGGGCCAGGCCGAGAGCCCGTGTGGCTGGCAAGCTCCTGGTGCTGCCACCCTAGTCCACAGTTGATCCGGGTGTGACCTCTGACCTGCTTCTACCTGACTGACAGCGCTTCATCCACCCGTCTACCCGTCACACAGGCCCCTCCCCGCCTGTCCGCCGCCGTCCGCGGCATCCCACCTTCGCCTCCGCTCTCTGCGCCACGCGTTCTGTTCCGGTCACACGGACGCCTCTGCTGTTCCTCAAGCTCAGAGGGCACCCCATACCTCAGGGCCTCTGCACGTGCAGTTCCTGCTGCCTGGACAGCCGGGGCCTGGCTCTGCAGCAGCTCCGCCCTCATCCTTGGCCCTTGCCAGCGTGCCCTGCTCAAGGGGCTCTTGGAATACTTCTCCACCACACACACGCAGATTTGACAGTGGTTGTGGGCTGAGCGCCTTCCTGGCCCCGGGATGCTGGCTCCAGGAGGGACCTGCCGCACGTCCTGGGCCTTGTCCCCAAGCCTCGCCTAATGCTGGTGTGTCGTTAGTGCTCAAACATCATCTGTGGCTGACGCGGACAGCTCTGCCCAGCACTGGATTTTTTTTTTTTTTGAGACAGAGTCTTGCTCTGTCACTCAGGCTGGAGTACAGTGGCATGATCTCAGCTCACCGCAGCCTCTGCTTCCTGGTTTCAAGTGATTCTCCTGCTCAGCCTCCTGAGTAGCTGGGACTACAGGCACGCGCCACCACGCCCAGCTAATTTTTGTAGTTTTAGTAGAGACAGGGTTTCACCGTGTTGGTCAGGATGGTCTCGATCTCTTGACCTCGTGATCCGCCCGCCTCAGCCTCCCAAAGTGCTGGGATTACAGGCGTGAGCCATGGTGCCCAGCCTCCTGCACTGGATTTAGTGGCTGAGTAATCATCAGGTCTGCTAACTAATTTTCAGGCCTTAACTAGTAGGAATCGGCCCAGATTAGTCAGTAGTGCTCCCCTAGGTTACTAAACGGTCCCAGGTTGGCCAAGATTGATGCCTGATCACACACTAGCAAGGAACGGATTCGGGGCCTCGCAGGGAGGGACTGGGGCTGCCGTTACCTTCAGGAAAGGAATGACAAACGGCCGCAGAGGGAAGTTGGTGGCCTCCTGAAGCTTGCAATGAAACTCCTCGATCGTCAGCGTCGAGTTCTACGGGGGAGAAAACCGCCTCTTGTCGGCACCACTCAGCACAAGAGCCAGCACTGTCCTGCCCATGCCTGAGGAGGCAGCCTGAGGAGGCTGGGGAGGCAGCCCAGGAGCCGGGCAAGCCTGGGAGGGTGCAGGGGGCATTGCGGGAGTGCCCACGGCCGGTTGGCAGGACAGAGCCCACGTGAAGGGTGGCTGTGCTGCACGTTCATGAAACGGAGGGAATGTTCAGGTGCCAAGGCCCCGGCCACCCCGCCCGACTCACCACCAGGCCCAGCACCAGCGCGCGCACGCGCTCCCCGATCTCTGGGGAGATGTCGCTGCCAAACTGCTGCAGGGTGGTGAGGAAGCGCTTGAGCTTGCTGAGCTGCCGGGCCCCGCAGGCCGGGGGCAGGTGCTGTGTGGACAGGGAGGCCGTGGACGAGGTGGCCGGGCCATCGCTGAAGCCGTTGGGTGTGGACGGTGCGCCGTTGATGGCTGTCGGCGAGGGGTTGCTGCCGTTCATCACTGCGGGAAGGAAGGGAGCGAGGGGGCATGTGAGGACGTGACAGTGACGCTGACGACATGACCCAGACGCGGCAGTCTGTGGGTGACCCCCATATAGGCACCGAGGAATGCGAGCTGAGCAGAGCCCTGGCACAGTTAGGGCCTGAGGAATATCTCACTTCATAGTGTTACTACTCAGCTATTCCTTTTACATAATCCTTTACATAATCATATATTCGTTTATAGAATTAGGGCTTGAAGAATCCCTTTATATAATCCTCTCTATATAATCATTAATAGTTGATAGTATGAATGCCTAAAGAATATTTCCCTACATATATACCTATAATCATATCTTAGTTCATAGTCGGAGAAATGCCTAGAGTGGACACAGTACAGAGCGTGAATTAAGGAATAAGCAGCTTATAATCGGAGGAATGCCTGGAGCAGACACAGTGCAGAGCATGATTTAAGGGAAAACAGTTACACCAGGACAAGAACCCACGGCCCAGGCGGCAGCGTTCAGTAACACAAAGATACCCGCTGGATGGCAGGCTTGGGGCGAGAGCCACCCCTCCTGATAAAGGAGTTGTAGGACCTTGCTCCAGTTCTTGTGGAAGGCTGCCCTCAGACCGGCAATCCACCTTGGTGACTGTGAACTTTATCAGCTCTTGCTACTGTGCTGCTCGAAAAGCATTCTCCCATAGAACCCATTGGAAGCTGCCAGAAGGTGGCGGTAACCTTGACAGCTGTGTCACTGCTGTGTGACTTAAAGCATCCTCCTATAAATCTTCTTAGAAGTAGTTTCCCATAGATACAAGTATTGCACACTGCACCCTCTTCACTGCGCACGGCCCACCTTCAAGCCTCGGTGACCTAATGGGGGTGGACCCCTCACTGCACACAGCCCTTGCCTTCGTGGGAACGGGCCCCTTGCTGCGCACTGTCCACCTCCTGGCCTAGGTGACCTAATGGGGGTGGACCCCTTACTGCACACGGCCCTTGCCTTCATGGGAATGGGCCCCTTGCTGCACACTGTCCACCTCCTGGCCTAGGTGACCTAAAGGGGGTGGACCCCATGTTTTATTGCTCACGACCCTATCACTATCCTTAAAGATGATTTCACTCGGCCGGGCGTGGTGGCTCACGCCTGTAATCCCAGCACTTTGGGAGGCCGAGGCGGGTGGATCACGAGGTCAAGAGATCGAGACCATCCTGGTCAACGTGGTGAAACCCCGTCTCCACTAAAACTACAAAAAATTAGCTGGGCATGGTGGCGCGTGCCTGTAATCCCAGCTACTCAGGAGGCTGAGGCAGGAGAATTGCCTGAACCCAGGAGGCGGAGGTTGCGGTGAGCCGAGATTGCGCCATTGCACTCCAGCCTGGGTAACAAGAGTGAAACTCCGTCTCAAAAAAAAAAAAAAAAAAAAAAAAGATGATTTCACTCACTGCCCTGCCCCCTAACCTATACACAATAAATACTCTTCTGGACATTCGGGGCCTCGCCTAACTCTGCTTATAGGTAGCATGGCCCCCTGAGCCCAGCTGCGTTTTCCTTGTACTTCTGTGTCCTGTCTCTATTTCTCGGATCCTGCGCCTCAGCACAGCATAAGGGACACCTCACGACCCTGTGGGGCACTCAGCCTTACATCTGGCTCCCAACGTGCCCTGCAGCAATGAGGACAGCAGTGACGGAGGAGGACAGCAGGATTCCCGAGCCCACCCAGGGCAGCTCTGCCAGACCTCCGTGTGCTGACCATCTGTCCACTTAGCCCTGCACACACACCCCCTTACAGATGTGGAAATGAATACCCTGGGAGGTGAAGGCCTGGGTACCAGGCAAGGGCACCCACAGTGGTGGTGGCTACGGAGTTAACTGTGTTCTGAGTGTGGCTTCCCACCCAGCATGACCCTTGGGACTTGCTCTGGGGCTGATGTGAGGCCCTTCACAGCCAGCAGGCGTGTGGCCCCTATGCCAGGCCTGGGAGACACCGACCCCCCCAGGCTGGCTCAGGTTTTCCCTGTGAACAGGCAGACAGGGCTTTTCCACACACTAGGGGCTTGATAGTCCAGTTCCCATGTGCTGGAGGCAAAGAAGACTTGGGATTTGAGAAGCTGCTCATACCCCTGAAAGGCCAGCTGCCCTTACACCTCTGACATGATGTTCAGAAGCAATAGCTCCTACCTCCGATCAGGCATCTCCTGACCCTGAGCAACTCTGCCCACAGGCATCTCCCAGCCCCAGCAATGCTTCCCCCACAGGCATCTCCCAGCCCCAGCAATGCTTCCCCCACAGGTATCTCCCAGCCCCAGCAATGCTTCCCCCACAGGCATCTCCCAACCCCAGCAATGCTTCCCCCACAGGCCTCTCCCAGCCCCAGCAATGCTTCCCCCACAGGTGCCTCCCAGCCCCAGCAATGCTTCCCCCACAGG